CTTCAGCAGCCATGTCCTCAGGGGGAGGGTGATGATCTCCGGCTGCTCCTTCTTCATCTGCCGCCAAGCCTCGGTGGCCTTGAGGAGCTCCGGGACGGCCGACAAGACTCCCTGTGTTTGGGCAAACATCACGAAGTTGTCCTGAGCCCTGTTGATGGACAGTTGGTCCTCGTGTCTCATGATCAACCGGCTCATTGCCAGGCACAGCTCGTAGAGCTTGCGATCCGTCGCCCGGTCGAAGGTCTTGTCCTCCTTGTCCTTGTCCTTGTCCCAGTCCCACTGCCGATAGCGACGCTGAGGTGCGCGGTGGTCTCGTCCCCAACCACCGTCGGATGCTCGGGAGTTGCCCTTGCTCTGCGAGCGGGGCCACTTGTCCCCCCCTTTGCCGTTGCCGTTGCCGCCCGAGGTGTCCTGTAACTCCTGCTCCGTGAGGTCCGCCTGGCGCTTGGTCTCGCGGGTTTCCATTGGCACCGGCACTTCCCGTGGAGCCCTCGTCTCCGGTACTGGCGTGTTGGGCCCGGTGCTGGCTTCGGAGGGGTTCACGGCATTCGTCGAGCTCGGAGGGGTGCTGGGATTCTTGTTCATCATGGACGATAGGAGGGCCGCCTGCTCCCTCGCTGACATCAGCTCCTGCGAAGCCACTTCTGCCGCGCTCTCCCGGATGACGTCTTGGTTGGATTCCATGCTGGAGGGCCTGTTGTATGGTATAGACTGGGGTGGGTCGGTTTAGGAGCTTAAGAATGAGTCCTGTACGATACAGCGTGGGACACTCCTTAGCATGCCTAGGTCTGCTGCAATGTCTGGCCTTGTAGTTGTCTCCACAGAAGCAACAGGGGCTTTGGAGCACTGGCGTGCGATCTTGGAGCCACTGCAAAACAGCGTCATGCAGCCGATAGGCTTCTGGATGTAGGGCACTCAGATGCCGTGAAAGGTATCCTGGATGTGCGAGCCACTGACCACACAGGATGCAAAAATGCAGATCCGATTGTTTGATCTGTTCGGCTAGAAGTCGCCAATGTGCGTTCAAAGCTAGCTGACAGAAGAGTCTGGGCACATGTGGCAAGATCCTGCAAGCCTGGGCAAGAGCATCCTCTGACTCTGAGGGGGGCTTGGTATGGGTTTGGGGTGTTGCATTATCCGGTTGAAGTGCATCTACACAAAGGATAGGAGTCGGGTGATTGGGTTCAGGTTCGGCACTTGTGGGGTACTCAGGGGTACTGCGACGCTCCTCTAGTGCGAGTCTGGTCGAGGATGCTGTTGGGGCCGTTTGGCTGTGTTGGTGAAGCACAGAGCAGCGCTCCTTCTCAAAATGCAGACAAAATGATGCCCAGCTGGAGAAATCCCACTGGCAATGCCGACATGTGGGTAAACCATTCACACTATGGCACATGTACTCCGCTCGCATTGTGGCATAGGGTCTTGGTGTGGCGGGTGCGTGGGCGGCTAGGTCAGGGTGCTTAAGTGCCACATGTATGCGCATAGTGCGAACGCTCGTGAAGTAGATGCCACAGTGTGGGCATGCTCGAGGAGCCACGTTGGCCGTGAGGGCAACTAGGCGAGCCGGTGCACGCAGAGGCACACAGTGTTGTCTCAGCATCGGATCATGAGCAGCTGCGCGCAGTCCCTCTTCTACCTGTTTCCACCACTGGTGCACAGCAGGGGGTTGTAGCTGACTCATACCACTCTGTCGGCAGTTTGCAATGCGTTGCTGCGTGCGATGCATGAGATGCTGAAGCGGGTCCTCGACCTGGAGACGCGCAGGCAACTCTTGGGCAGGCTCCCGAGTGATAAACGATGGTGATTTACTCAGTATGCGAAGTTGCCGGACTACATGTTTATGTAGTTTGGTAGCACCTCCCGGAGCCAGCCCAAAACTATCTAGTCCGTGCACAAGAACAGAATGCACACAGGTGCGCCAAGTCAGAACGCGATGGCGCAAGCTGACTCCCGAGGTACGCAAAGCCGGCAGCAAACGGTTGAACGCACTCCAAGACTGCCTCATACGTTCTTTGAGGGTGAGGGCTTCAAACTGTCCATAGCTAAGGACGGCACCTAAGTATGAGCACTGCTTGACAATTGGAAGACACACCTGCTTGCCATCGAAAGGGATTCTGAGCAGTCGACCCAGTTTGGGGTCCTTGATGACGTGTCGGGCAAGTATGCTACCAGTGCGGGAACCTCGAAGGCCTAAGAGGACAGCTGACTTTGAGGGACTGGGCCGCATACCAAAGTGATCGAGGGTGCGAATAACAAAGGCAATATGATTAAATGCCAGGTCCAACTGCTCGCTGGTGTCTACCAACCAATGAAATAAAAAGTCATCGGCGTAAACTGTGGTGTCATGCATGGACAATTGCTGTTTGAGGTAAGTCATGATGAGGCTGGTGTACAGTACCCACAATGCCGGAGCTAAACAGCAACCTTGACGTATTCCATTGGAGGTATCCAGGGTGGTCTGGCATTGTCCATGCGCTATGCGGAGACAAGCATGTGCATGCAGCTGCAGTATGACTTGCTGAGCGTCTGAGCTGACCTGTGCAAGTTGCATAGCCTCGCGGAGTCTATCTCTGGGCATGACATCAAAGGCCTGACGTAGGTCTACCGAAAGCAAAACCCCGCCCCTACAGTAATCCAACTTGTGCCCTTGTCGTCTCAGGTGCGGATTCTGTCTCTGCGTGTGCAGGACAGCTCTCACTCTGGCACAGTGTGCTGCCGCGCGGTCCAATGCATCTTGGACCGACCGTCCCTCCAGGTACGCCATTTGAGGCAGATCCGCAACAATGGTCTGCAGGTTGGGCCTAATATGATCATGGAGTATCATGGAGAGAGCTTTGGAAACCGGGTGAATGAGCGAGATAGGGCGCAGGGCTTCGGGTCCTGTAAGAGGCTTATGTGGTTTCGGGATTAAACACAGGTCAGCTATGTGCCACTCCTCTGGAGGCGGACGGTCCATCTGCGCAAGCCAGCGGTTCAGAACCGGCAAGGTTTTGTCCGTAAGGACATCTGCAGCCAGGCGCCACAGGCGGGCCGGGGCCGTGGTTGGGGGTAAGGCTTTATTGAGGGCCAGGCTACTAAACGCTTGGTACAGTTGCTGCCATGTTACCTGGAAGGCCGGAGCACTGCTGGCAATGATGGTTTGTGGGTGTTGATGAAACAAGTCTTGATAAAAATCTCGGATGGTTTGTAGGGTGGTGGAGGTATCCATCGGTCTGCCGTCCTTTGTACGCAGCTGCAGTTTGCGTCGTGGCTGCTTGGGGGCGAACAGTCTAAGAACACGAAAGACGCCGACGAAACCATCGTGGCCCACAGCTTCTTGCAGTTGCTGGGTCAGTCTTTGATGTCTTAGTCTGCGACAGTTCTTACGGAGCTCGCGTTGATGCTTCTGCAGCGCACTCTGGTCTCGCCATCTGGCCATGAGATCCCGGAGCGTGCGGCATGCCCTTTGTCTGCCTTGCCTAACAATGTTCCTAAGTCGCCAGAGTTCTCGAACAGATTGGCCTCTGGTGTCAGGTCGAGAGGGCCTGATGCAGGTAGGCAAGTGTGCTGTGGCACGTTGCCATGCTCTTTTGAACAATGTGTTTGTGGGCAAATCCGGGCACGCCGCTGTGATGGACTGCATAGCCATGCGAAAAGCAGTAGCCACTTCGGGATGCTCCGCGCAGGTATGTTGCACTTTGTGTCTTTGCAGGGCAGGAGGTCGATATCGAGTGCGGGGCCGGGTGGGGCTGGGAATACAGCCTAAGATAGGAAGATGCCTCATACCTGTGGCCGGCACAAAAGGTAAAACCTGCGGCCTGGCACAACGTGACAGCTGATCTGCTTGCATACGTCTGGTGAAGGCAAAGTCTATTTGGCTGCGTCCTGTCGGCCCAGCAGGGAGAAACGTGCACGCCTTGTGTCCACGCGGGCCCCAGGTGTTCAGAGCAAGCAGGTCGTGATTACGAACTAGATCTTGCAGCATAGAAGAGTCTCCTGCGTGTTGGCCCGTGCGGGCACATAACCCCCTGCCTACGTGAGACCCTTCAGGACTAAGATCCGTGTTGAGGTCTCCCAGGACTAGCAGTTGATTACGTTTGGGGAGGGAGTGCAGCAGGGTAGCCAGTTTGGCTAAGAACTCTGCCCGCTTGCTCAGCAGCTGGTCCCGTTGCGCAACACGCTCCTGTTGGTTTTTGGAAAGAGACCAGGCGTGTTGGTAGCAAATGACCACATCTACGCATGGGTCACCTTCTAACCTGACGTGCAACAATCTTCCTGGCAGAACCTCTCTATGCTGCACCTGGACGGAGGTGTAGAGGGTCTTATCAATTAAGATGAGAATGCCAGCCTGAGCTACATTAGCACCACTGTGGATACCATAGAACCTGTCGGTAGTGTACTCCAGGGGCCCACGCCAGTGAGTCTCTTGCACGGCTATGAGATTGACATGACGTCCATCGGGTGAGTCTAGCCAGGTTTTGAGCTCAAGGTTTCGTTCTGTCGATAAGCTTCCCGCATTCCAAGACAGGTAATGTATTCTGTTGGAGGTGTGGCAGGGGGTGGGTGGAGGTTGTCTAGGGACAGTTGGACTATGTGGTACTCCTAGCTGCTTCGCACTCATCCAACGGCCTCGGTACTTGGCACTGCCATGTTGCGATGCTCTTTGCCGAGCCCTTTGAAAGGCTCGTTTCTGTACAGGGCGGGGATTTATTAGAACATTGGGAAGTACACCGTTGTGGTTTGCTCTGTTATTACCACTGAAGCAGGGCATACATTGTGCTTCAGGAGGTTCCTGGTGTGGAGAGCCTCCAACCCTCGTGTCTACGGGAGATGGCATAGCAGCTACACTGCCGATGTTGCTTAAGGTCACAATTGAGGCGATAACAACTGAGTTAAGCCTAAGCGTCCTCCCGTTCCTGGACTTGGGACCAGGACGGCCTTCTTCTTGGTGCAGGGCTGGGTTTTGGAGTGGGGTGCTGCGCAACTGTGCCGGACTGAAAAACTGAAAGAACTGTACAAAAGAGCTGCTCTCAATGAAGGTTTGGAAAAAGCTCACTGCAGCGAGGAAAGCTTGAGTGTGCCGAATGCAGCGACGAACCCGGCATCTGCGAGGTCGACGTAGAGCTCGGGCCGCTCGCAGTCTGCCGGGCCTGAGGTGCCTCCCAAAGTCCAGCTGTCTGTGGCCAATCTTAGGTTCCTGGGCCTCTCGAGCTCGAAGCGGGTTCCCGGATCGGAGAGGTTTCCCAGCGCTCGTCCTGCATGAGGTCTTGGCCCGTATAGCCATAGAACCACTGCTGGAAGTCCCTTTTACCAGTGTCATCCAGCAAGGGATATAATGAAAGCAAGGTCGGGATGTAGAACAAGTCCATTTCCCGCGCCACTTCCACCATGTGCGCTGAGACATGGTCCGCGCTGGAGGGCTGCAAATGCCGGCGCAGACTGCGTCGCAAGAGCATTGCCAGGTGCTGCAGGAATACATGGCGTGGCGGGTCCTTGGAGCCTCCAATGCGGGTGATCCAGCCCAGGTCATTTTCTGGTATACCCTGGTCCAGGATGCCTGCAAGGGCGCGGTAGTCCTCGTCCAGTTGCTGGGCCCTGGGCTCCTCAAGCTGCACAAAGATATAGGAATATACATCTCCAGGGTCCTGGTGGCCGCGTGCTCTTCGCTGAGCCAGGTAGCGCGCCTGCGAGGAGCGACGATCCGGATACCTGATGTGCAGGTGCTGGGCCAGGTAGAAGAAGCAAAGCTCTCGCAGGGCCGTACAGGCCATGCGTTCCAGAAGCTGCGGGTAGTCATACGGCAACTGATAAATCGGCCTGTGGAATCCCGCATGCGGCAGGCGTGGTCCTTGTTCCATCTCCAGTGGGGGTCCGGCTGGTGGGGAGGTGTCCCCATCTTCACCTGCCGCATTTCCATTATCTGCTTCCATGCCAGGCTCAGAGTTGCTGCTAGGCACAAAGCCATCATCGCTGTCGCCCAAGCTGTCTTCATTGGACGGAGAGTTTCCAGGTGCGGAACGAGACATGCCCCGGCCCGAAGGCCCCACAAGCAGGCAGCCGCCCAGTCAGAAAAAGCAGAAGATAAAAGGTGACCAGAGTCCGCAGAAAAACGGCGTTAAGCGAAATGGCGTC